AATGAATACCTGTTTCATTTTGATCTTGCATTTCTTCAACATCTGTTTCAGTCTTCACTATCTCAATATTGAAAATAGGCTCCAGTTTAACCTCCTCTGGGTCTAAAGGCATAATACACTGCATTGGTGACACGGAAAACCTCCAAGAAATATCTGGTTGTTGCTTCAAAATCATATTTAGTGTGTCTATGGTAATCTATAAAGAAACCTCTCTCATTAGTAAAATTATATAGAAGAATTTTGCAATGATTAATATATTACTGAAAAGTTTGTGTATGTGGGGTGGGGCAAATGTTTGTTGATGATAATAAGAATTTGTACCTCAGTCATGGACGACCCTATTATCCTTATTATTAGAAGAAGAGTTAAGACAGAAACATATTAACATGTTGTGTTGTATTGTGTCAAAGCTCTAACCTCTCTCTAAGAGATGGTGAATTGAAGTGTCACTACACGTTTATATGTTTTGGATTTACAGTGCGTACTTTGGGGCTAGGCTTATTGGTGTATTTGTAAGAAACATTTATTTATTATGTTTTTTTAAAAGTTCTTACCTCGGACTCGGAACTGATGAGTTGCAACAAGAGCTTGTTTGCCTTCAGTGATTTATCTATAAACTTATGCAATTTTCTAATCATATGGTAGCAAATGTAACATAAGCATGTTGGCAATTTGTCACCCATTACTAGCTAAAACCATATACAATAATGATACAGTATAATAGACAATATTTTAACAACCTATGGTTATAAGGAATAAAGTAATTGTTTCATATACATCATAAAGTTCTTGAAATCAATGTAAAGAATTCATAGCTGTTTTTAAATGCCCGTTTAGTGTCTTCTTTATACAGATAATTGATTCTTAAATAATGAAAATTATAAACAGTCCGAGGTTGCTAAGGATACTGCTGGTAAGAATGGAGCATTGCAAGGAAGATAAAGCGAAAGAGAGAGAAATGAGGATCTTAATCCCTCCTTGGAGAGGAGGAAGCTAAGATAACAATGAGATAGGATCCGTAATTATCCAGTAGAAGAAAAGTGAGGGTGAACAATGAGACATATTTTATATTTATAATGTATGCATCAGTTTTTGGTCAGGCAAGCAAGTGACATGAGTGGATTAAGGACATAAGTTACTTTACATTTGGCTACATTTTCTGTATTACGTAGCAGGTTGCCCCTTTTGGTTGTAAGCATATCTTAGATCCATAACAAATTTGATGAGTGCCAATGCAGGGTGGACTAAAAGTATTATAAGTCAGAAATTTATTTATTTTAGATTTAAAGGAGCCACAAAGAATTATTAATTTAAAACAAATTATTGAGACCACAACTGCGGCAATCAGAGATCTTACCGGAATTTCAGTGATATTTTCATAAATCTTTTGAAGTGGCCCATTCAATATTGAATACATACGGCTATGGTGTGCCAAGCATACTCTGCATACTTGTAAACGAGACATTATTCTTTTGTATTTGGATAAAATACAGTCAGACTTAAATACCTTTTCTCTTTGATTCAGACTGAGTGAGTATCGCGAGTATCGTTCACACAGCTCTCCTTAGATTACATTGTTTTTTTTTTCTTTTTTGTGGCAAGCAAGGGTTTTGCGTTCAGCCAATATCAAGTAGAAAACCAAGGAAACGGTAGGGAAAAAAGGAATCGGAAATATTACGAAAGGACATTGGGCAAAAATGTATGGACGCTACACCCACATCCGCCGTCCTTAAACTACATTTGTTTGAAAGGTATTATAGTCGAGATCATCTGTGCCAAAGCGCATCAAATTCCATCCCGGGGGTCTTTAGTTATTTTAAGTTAAATATCTACAAGTACTATGACGAACGAAAATTAATGAAAAAAGGGAATTAATTTAGTTAGTTAGTTTGACCCTACATAGCCGCGCTAGAGTAAATCCAAAAATCCCCGCTTGGTTTGGGTTTTTTTTAAACATTTTGTTCGTTATAGTAAATTGTCTCGTAAAACGGAGCGACCACAGATTACACAAACTTGTCTACGCTTCGGAGAACACATGATTCCAGTTCAGCCATACTTATTGACAAAACCGATAATCGTGTTCCAATATCCAAAGCGTGTTAGATAAAAATCAACCAAGTAGCAGGGAGCGCACAATCACAACGAAGTAAGACGAGTCGACGAGTCGCAACTGCAAGTCTTTCAGCATCCGTAAACCATTTTGAAATGTCTCAGTAAGAGCAAGCGCAGGATTGTTGGCAGGCTTTGTCGTATATCTGGTTGTAAAGTACGATATGGCATATTATTATGATTACTAATAATATAAAATGAAGGTATTATAAAATGAATTTATTCAGCTACTTAAATATGCCCATGTGTCATATCTATTGACTACCAGGATATTTTTTACGGTGTCATATCTTTTGACTCCCAGGATATTTATTTTCGGTGTCATGATAAAAAAGGCTAGGTTTTTTCAGAGATTTTACATTGTTGGCGGAGCTGGGTGTGTTTTGCCCATTGTCCTTTGGAAAGGATCAGGATTGTAAAAAATAATGTACATACATTAAATTTTGTATACCTATTTAAAATTAAAGTTTTATATTATTAAGCAAAAGGAAAGATATAATACATTCATACACAGATAGGTCATTGGTATGAAGAAATGTAGCTATATTGGTCGGGTATGGTATACGAAGGGATGATAATTCTTTAAAAAATGGGGATTTAAGGAATAGAGGGCAGAAAAATACAATGTGATCCACATTTCGATCCGATCGAATCCGCAGTCACACCTAGGATCGTTTATTATATTGAGTTTGGCAAGATGGGAACCTTTGTTACACTGTAACCTGTTACACTGTGACATGTTGGGAGACCTTTCTTAATATAATTTCCAACCAGTCACACTGTGACCATACTTGTGACGTTTTGTGACTGTGACGAACGTCCTGTTCAAATCTGCCCCGTTTGTTTTGATCAAATCTGCCCCATGGTCACTTGGAAGACAAAAATAATATTACAAAAAAATAATGTCAAGTAACTGGCAAGCAAAAACTTCAAGGTGGATTTAAACTAATAAGTACTGCACAATTTTGTGAAAGAATTAGTTGGAAACCTTTGCTCACGTGATAGTAAAGCCCTTACAACATTTATTTTATTTTTTTACTTCACCGGTACAAATACGACGACAGGTTATAAATCTTTCTGAAAACGAAACGCGCGCGCTTTGTTACTTGACGTTTGTAACAGCCAGTGCTGCCAATATTAAAATGTAGTTGCGACATAGATTAATATAAAGTTACTTTCAGAAATCAACAACAGTTTTTACCAATTACAAAAAAAGTGTACAACGCCGCGCCGCTAAAGAAGTTTTCACTTCAATATCAACTTACATGAATCACATAAGCGCACCTAGCGACATCTATTGTAAAAAAATACATTTTCTTCGCAATAAAGCTGCCACATGGACGTCCTAGATAGAGACTTATTATAGGTTAGTTGACTCATGTCGAATCGTATTATATAAATGTTTATTTCTTAAAGTATTTGGTCTAAGGAACCTAAATATATCGATTTTACTTCATAAGAGCAGAAGATGACTGTAGAAATTTAATTTAAAAAAATATTTTTAGTCTATATTTCTTAAACAATAAAAACGCTGTTCGCCACATCCGCCATGATTGTGACGTCTCTTTTAGTAAACAACTAAATGTCATTCGCGTGTTACTGTGGGTGCATTCTTTCGTCTGACTAAATTTATCTTAAATTACTTTTAACTTTAGAAAAGTTTCCGTTTACTGTTTTTTTTTTGACAAAACTATATATGGATGCCGGCTTTGTGAAAGCAGAAAGCACAAATCTGCCAAGAATTGACGCATTGATGGTTGGTGAATTTTTTGCACTAAACCCCGATTCCTACTCTGCGGAGCAGAGAAACGACAAGGCATCTATGTAAGTACAGTGCATTTAGTATTACAATGTAGTAATAAACATAAAACTGATACAACATATGAATAAGTGTAATAAAGTTGCGTAGGTTAATTTCTTTCGGCACTTTAAGACCGAAAAAAAATACATTTTTTTTCGGTCTAATAGAACATTTATTAACCATTTAAAACCTTTTTCCAAAAAGGGTCAACTAGCCTATTACAATACGCTAAAGTAAATTTTTACTATGTTTCGTCCAATATATTGCAAGTCAACAACCTTTCCAATTTTATTATGTTTCATGATGCGATCAGCCCACGTGTTTAACCTAACGCGAGTTTAACATTTTTACCCATACAAAAAAAAGTGTACAACGCCTCTAAAGAAGTTTAACACTTCAAAGTAGCAATTTTTTTTCTAAGCATTTAACTGCTAGATTTTTATATCTTATGAAAATTAGAAGAAGAAGATCCGATGCCTGGATATTTTTCTAGTATTTTTTTTGTAAAAAATATAGCATTTTACTGCTAGATGTTCAAATATATAGAGATTTAAACAGCTAGCAGTTAAATGCTTAAAAATTTGTAAATAATAAAACAATATACATAGTTGTTAACAATTTGGGAAAATAATTTTCTACACTACTGGTATCATCTTAGCTGTCAGTCTGAAAGTTTGATTGACGGGCTCGGGAGTTTTTGGCGGGATTTCATCGAGTGCGGTTGGCGTCTTATTTTAATTATTCTTAAATTTGTTCATAGTTGATATTGTGAAATAAAATTGGTGTGATTTTGTGTTACAACCGTCTGCGCAACTGAAGAATTAGTGGAATCTTTAAAATATACGCTATTCCGGTCAAGTGGACGTGAGAATTTTATTGTAGTATTGGCTACCTCACAGAAGCTTATCGAAAAAGCCAACTCGATATATTTCGTGCCAAACACTCCAAGAAGCATTAGAATGCGTCACACCCACATTCTAATATAAAAAAAAAAGGAAGATTAATACAAAAATAAGACGATGGCTTCATGGCTATGCCTTTGCCTTTCTCAATAGAGAAGAACAGAGCTAAAAAAAAAAAAATTGACGGGCTCGTTTTGACGTTTCTTAAGTCAAGAGCAAGAGAGGCAGGCGATCAGTTAGTCAGTGGAATTGTGGAATTTTTTTATCACGTTGCGTGCTTGCTACTATCACCCGGTTCGTGCACATTTGAATAATTAATTGGTAAAATTCATCAATGCTTAATTGTCCAGTGTTTAGTGCGGCAGAATTATGATGTGAATGCATTTCGTGTCGTGAACATTTTTCATTGTAACAAGAGAGGGTATGTATTCTATCAAAGGTCATTGTTTGTTGATACAGCTAAAATTAAAATATTCACACGCTTGTGTGTGTGCACAGCGCGGCGCGCGGTGTCGCTTTTAGTTGGTGTGCGTGAGTAAATGTCAGAATTCTTGGAATTTAATACGGGGATTCGTTCGGTTGCGGGCGCCCGCTCGATACAGGTAAATTCTATACCCGGGATGGACAATACCACCGTGCTAACAAGTGGCTGAATGCATTTTCTTAACTCAAACCATTGTAAATACGAATTTTCTTAAAAAGTGTTTAATGTAGTCTAGTGTGTGTCGTGTGCTTACGCGCTGTGGTATTTTATGCAAAAACTTCTACTAAACGCGGACTTTTTTGTGCGTATTAATTATTTCTCTCACTGTCGATTTTAATTTTCAGTGCCATAAGTACAATTAGTGGTTTCTTATTTATTTCTCTGTGTCTAGTTGCTTGAACATATTGTATCTTTTCAGTGAGTCATTTTTATATGAATTATCCTTCTCAATGATTGAGTTAGTTATTTGACTGGCACTTGAGCATGTTTTAGTATTCTCGTTTTCCTGTAAAATCCTGAACAACTCAAGCAAAAGAATGTTTACATGACAAAGAGAATTCCTCAAACTGTACTTTCACTGATAGTAGATTTATTTGTCATGAGTTGTTCAGTAACTTATTCCCTGAAAGTGTTAGTTGTACTTTTTACATCTCCTCAATTAATAACTCACTCAATCAGGGCCAGATTTAGAGGTGTGATGGTCCTGGGGCCAGGAAGGAGTGGACCCTAAGTCTGGACTGACGAGGTGTACCCCGTCACTTGGTTTAGTGGCCTGTTGAATAATTATTTATCAATGTTGTGAGTGCCCCTGGCCCACAGCCCCGCCTGCTCTGCCTGAAAATCTGAGCCTGCACTCAATAAAATAAAGAAATTGCCTTCTTTAAGGTCCTATCTATCTAAAGGACAGTTTATACTCATCAGTTTTTTTATTAGCCTATTTTAGATTACAATTGTTTCAGATTTAATTATATATCTTTATTATTAAATGGTGTTATTTGTGATCTAAGTACTTTGAAGCAAAGGCCTCCTCCAACTACTTCCATGATGTCTTTCCTGAGCAATTCTGGTCCATTGTTTGCCAGCTGCAGCAGCAAGTTCATTCTCCCATTGTTTGAGTTGCTTCTAATAAAAATTTTGCTCCATTTGTCTGCTCCTCTTTTCGTATGACCTGCTCATCTTCATTGAAGCAGTTTTGTCTTTAAAGCTATGTCTTGGGTTTTAGTGAATTATCTGATAAAACTGTGACATGTATTGTCATTTAATCTAAGCCCCATCATGCTTATTCCCTTACAACATTGACATGAGCATAGTTTTAACCTTTCCGATTCTTGAAGAGCGTTTGATAGCCGTATGTTACGTATACTGGGAGAATGCATGTATTGAACCACTTGCCTTTCACGCTGGTGCTGATTTTATTTGCCATCATAATTTTCTTAAAAGCACAACAAATTACCCATTCTTGTTGCAATCTCTTTATTTGTAATGACAATGTCAGAATCCTGCATGTTCTCTGGGTTGATTTTCATCAAACACTGTATCAATGATGCGATCAATTATAATTTAAGAAAAGATTTTGTACATGTTGGATTTGTTGATAGTTACCAATGTCACTTCTATCTCCTTTCTTGTGTATTAATATTATATTTGATGTTTTCCATTGTTTGGGTACTAGTACTGATGTAGTTACTTCGTTAAAATTATGTGTGAGAAGGGGTATTAGTACACTATGTGTTGCTATTAGTCATTTGTTGGTTATCTTGTCAGGGCCTGGGGCTTTATCAGTTTTCGGGGACCTTATTGCATTTTCAACTTCAGTTTCTAGTAACTCATCAGGTGTTCATCATCATCAGGCCTTCCCCATGGATGGAATAGGGAGAACAACTGTTATTGATTTCCAATGAACCCTTTCCTTGCCATATAATATGCCACCCAGACCAGTTACTGTTGTATTTATAAGGTAGAGCATTGCTTCATAGGCTGGGTGAAAATAATGGATTGATGTTGTCACCGACAAATAGAGGTGGGCCACATTAGTGGTCCCCAAGGGACGACCACTAATGTGGGATAAAGCTAAATAAAAATAATAATTGCCTCATAATACGCCCCCCCCGTGACCCCTAGCTACGGCCCTGATGCCATCCATATGTACATAAAGGAAATAATACATCCCATTCTTATTTTTTTTTTCTTTCTTGTTAACATGCAAATATCACTCAAGTATTTTTTAAACTTTATCAAATCAAATACATACTTTATTTGCATCTTTTTTGTATTAAATGCATTTTAAATAAAAAAATTAAGAAGTTAATGGGCCATATGAATGAGGTGCATTGGGCACTTTTTGCTTTCGGGTCGAATCTTGAGGGTCCAATGGGTACTTGACCATAGGCAGGTATACAAGAATGCTGCTTTTAAATTTCTGTCTCACCTTTATATGTATGTCATTTAATGTACTAACTAGGGGTAGTAGATAGCCCTGCTATTTCAACTGCATTCATTTGAGGAAAAAGATTAAAGTGGTTCAACTCTTAGAAGGTAGGCATATCGCACGTCACAAACAATAGGGTATTAAGTCGGCAAAACCATTTATTTTTTTATTTGCGTTTCGAAAACTACATTTTTTTCTCTATAAACTGGGAAGATAATTGTATTTTAATTCGAAATAGTTTTTGAATGATAGCAACACATGTTGTCAATTTCTAGGCAAAATTTATGATTGTGAGTATTATATGCCCGTTCGGATACTATTAATTATCATTTAATACTATTAATTTATCCCGAACGTAAAAAACAGTTAATAATTTGACCTTCAGATGATTACTTAACATACACAAAGTTGACATTACACTAAAGAGGTAATCGACCCGAGCATTTTGGCGGTAAATTCAAAACCATTAAAAATAAATTCAAGATTAATTGGTCTAATGGAGAAAAAAACACATTAATTTATTTATTTTTCTGTTAAATTAATTGTCACAATCTTTAAATATAAGCAGTTTTCAAAATTTTGGAAAATACCCTCTTTGACGGGCCTGAAACCTCCGGACTGTAAAAAAAAAGTAGTTTGACAAGATGCGTAATTATATCGTTTTGTTCGCCAGCTCCTCATTTGACAACAGTGTATCCTTGTCGTTCTCTATACCGAATGAAAAGGAGAGACCGATGTTAATTCAGTTTTCAAGTTATTCTCTATTATTCCACCTTCCTCTTCACCATCAACTCCCGGCAGCCTATTCTTCATTTCCAGATTGATCTCTCCATCCAACAGCAAACAATAACCGACAACTGACCTCCCAGACAAAATCTTCCTTTTTTTTTCCAAAATTTTCGTTTTATTTAGGCCACATTTCAAGAATTTATTATTTTTATAGTTTGTGATTATATATACTTAGCTGTTTCTTAATCATTGGAATGGATATTTTAAGTAATATTTTTTAAGTCTTTTCTCCTTTTAATTATAATTTTGTAATGTCTTTTTTTTAAATAATCACTTCATATATTTCACCATAGTCTTCCCATAATAAAGTCGAAAAATGACAATTTTTTTTTCACTATAAACCGATGGGCAGCACTGTCGCCGTGCATCCTTCTGAGGACCACGCGCTGGCCTACGTTGTCACCGTCTTACTGTGGCAAAACAAATCTAACGACTCATTTCTTTGTCGCACTATCCGTAAATGGAATACCTCCTTCTTACAACCTCGAATCCTTTAAAAGAGGCGTGAAGAAGCAATATGGCTCTTCTAGAGCATGCCGGATTTGACACCACTGTCGTTGTTTTTTTTTTAAGCATTTAACTGCTAGATGTTAAATCTAAAGAAAAGATTTACTACAAAAAAATCCACGCGGACCAAGCAGCGGACAGGACTCGAACCCGCATCCTTCGAAATCCGGGCGAATGCACTGACCAATTATGCTACCACGGCCCTGATAGAATGTTTAATACTGGAAAAAGTATCCATTTGACATTGTGGGTTACCTACAATGCGAAGAGATGGCGCTGCCTCGCAGCTTAAGGCTTGGAAAATTTCGACGCGGCCATCAGGGCCGTGAATAGGGATGATGACTATTTTTTTTTCTTCGTTTATCAGGTAGATTATTAAAAAGTATTGGACACGTATTTTTTCTTTTTTCACATAATATAAACATTGCAGAGATATATTGATTTGAAAAGTCGCATGACGTCACGTTTGAGTACACTTATAAGTGAAAATTCACTCAAAAGTGACGTCACGAGCTCCTACTCCCAAACTTTGTCGCGCTATAACTTTGTCATTTTTTGGTTGATTGCCCAAAGAAAAAATACGTGTCCATTATTTTTTGTTCATCTAACTGACGGACTAAATGGATTTTCGTTTACTGTACCCCGTCATCACCCCTATTGGTCAGTGCATTCGCGCGGATTGCGAAGGATGCGGATTCGAGTCCCATCCGCTGCCTGGTCCGCGTGGTTTTTTTTTCTAGTAAAACTTTTCTTTAGATTTAAACCACTGTCGTTATTGCGATCGTTATCTCACAGTTTGATAAAACTTATCTGTTACAGATAAGCCGCGACTGGTGACGAACCACTTAGATAAATATAGAGGTGAGCATCTATTTAAAGAACTGCAACTCTCGTTTATAAATTTACTGAATCTTATTTCTATTTGACGACCTCCGTGGCCGAGTGGTTTGTACGCCGGGTTTTATGGTGTCGCCGAATCGAGAGGTCCCGGGTTCGAATCCCGGCGGGGGCAGATGTTCGTGTGATGAATACGAGCATTTGTACTCCAGTCATGAATGTTTAATATGTAATATTATACTTATACAGTGGTAGCCACATAATGAAAGACACCTCCTAATTAATAATTATTTGTCCCACATTGTAAGAATACAACGTCGTGTATAGTTTAATAACAATTACACTGGATTAAATACCAATACCAGCGGCCAAACCGTAAGAGATAGATAAAGAGAATATTTAAGTTATAAGTTAAGAATAGTCTGATAAGACTACAAACCGGATTTGAGTAACGTAGCACTGCCGGTATTCGAGAAATCTGGTTTTGGTGAACATTTGGTTCACTGGTTTGCTAGTTTTAGCTAATTTTAGTACCATAAGTAAGTTTTTTGTGGTCAATTAGGGAGTGTGTTTAATAATTATGTGACCACCATTGTATATGTATTTTATCCGTTACCCTAGTATCCCATAACACAAGCCTTATAGTGCTTACTTTGGGGCTAGGCTAATTGGTGTTGGAAATATTTATTAAAGTGAGAAATGGAACGCTTATAAGAGCATTTTGTTGTCCGTGTGCCTTTCAAGACCTTTCATATTTGGCAATTTGAATTGGCGCGTAACCGCAACAATGCAACTCAATAACTGCAACACGGTCTTATTTAAGCGTTCACTCCATATTTAAAAATGAGTAAAATTCTAAAAAGAACTACATTTTAACTAGATACAGCCCACGTGGTGGTTGAAATTTACACCATATACTTACAAGTCTAAGGTTCCTTGGTGCTAAAAAAACCAAAGTTCTAAGTTACCTTAAAAAGATACGGCTGTTCATCTGTCTGTCTGTTAGTCAAAACCCTTTATATCAAGAACGCATAAACGGTATCGAGTTGTTTAAACCTTATACTTAGGTCTACCATCCCCTGAAGCTGTGAATAAACCTAAGTTACCTTAAAAAGAGGAGAGGAGGTCGATGGAGCAGGTGCTTATCGCGTTCGGCTGCGATCGTTGTAGTTAAGCAACTTTCGCAGTGGTCGGTCATTGGATGGGTGACCAAAAATCTTATATCTCCAGTTCCTCCGTGCTTTGTAAGGCCTTTTAAGCCGTTGGTCCCGGCTGCATTTGCAATGGTTAGCACCCGCCAATCTCAACTGGGCTCGCGTGGTGAGTCATGGCCCGATCTCCCTATTCCATCCATAGGGGAGGCCTATGCCCCAGTATTGGGGACATTAATAGGCTGACGATGATGATGATGGCTTTAAAAAGATACGGCCCTTTATGTTGCGTACCCACAGACTGCACTGGTCCTTTTAATAGATTAGCCGTTTTGACACTAAGCTCCCGTAGCATAACCACTACAATGTACACATAGTACAGTCAATCTGTAGGTTGAGTGGTGAAAAAAAAACCTAAAGGCTAAGTCTTGTTTTTTCTGTTGCCAAATGACGTCAGTAAGCCACCTTGGCGATGGGCATGTTCAACTCGTAGGCGTTTTTTGAAAAACTCAAAAAAACCGTCAAAAATTTTTTGAAATGCAATTTTCTTGTTTTGTATGCATTTTAGAAACTTTTGTTTTTGACCATAATTGTAGAGGGCGTTGAGTGCTACAATTTATGTCATTGTTGCAATCTCGTACAAAGAAAAATGCGATTTGTAGGTGGCGCTAAAGTCTCAAAAAAAAGGGTTTTTTCACTTTTTCACCCTGAAAATATCATTTTAATGGAAAACTGTAAATGGCAAAGTTGTTTCGTACATAATTACCAACAACTTTTGTATGAACAATTTTTTTGTATTACTTACCGTTTTCAAGTTATAAATTGCGCAGGTATGAAATATCCAATAGAGCGGTTTTGGGCAATTCAAGTACACATTTGCAGTGCACATTTCAATGTACGTTTTTACTATTTTTTTTTCAATCATGAAAAAAAATAAAAATAAAACTATTATTTTTAATTTTTTTTTTCATTTTTTTTGTTGTTCAATCATGAAAAAAAATAATACATAGTAAAACGTACATTGAAATGTGCACTGCAAATGTGTACGTAAACTACCCAAAACCGCTCTATTGGATTTTTCATACCTGTGCAAATTTATAACTTGAAAACGGTAAGTAATTACTGACGTCATTTGGCAACAGAAAAAACAAAACTTACCCTTTAGGTTTTTTTTTCACTGAAACGATATTTTTTTCGACAGATTGACTGTACTTAACAGTCAGGTCATAAGTATTGTCACACAGTAAAAACTTTTCTTTTAGAATGCTGGCCACAAAAAAGGTTTATTGAATTCTAATTTCGAATTTTTTAAGAATAAAAAAATGTATATTTTTAGAATTTTACTCATTTTTAAATATGGTGTGAACGCTTAAAAGAAGACCGTGTTGCAGTTATTGCGTTGCATCGTTGCGGTTACGCGCCAATTCAAATTTTTGACATACTGAAAAATTTGAATATAACCAAAAGATTCGTTTATCGTACCATCAAACGATACAATAAAGACTCTAGTGTAGATGACAGGTCAAGAAGTGGTCGCCCTCGGTCTGTTAGGACTCCAGCAGTGATAAAAGCTGTAAAGGCGCGAATTCAAAGAAATCCCAAACGTAAGCAGAAACTGTTGACCCTTCAGATGGGGTTAAGCAGAACCACGATGAAAAGGGTGTTAAATGAAGACTTAGGGCTTCGGACATATCGAAGAAAAACAGGACATCGTTTGAATGCTCGTCTAATGGATCCGAGACTGAAGAGATGCCGAGCTTTGCTGAAGCGGTACGCGGGAAAAAAAATCGATAAATTCTTTTTTCGGATGAAAAAAATTTTACCGTAGAAGAGAGCTACAACAAACAAAATGATAAGGTGTACGCACACAGTAGGGAAGAAGCGAGCAACCGTATTCCGCGTGTCCAACGAGGTCATTTTCCATCCTCGCTCATGGTATGGTTGGGAGTTTCTTATTGAGGCTTAACAGAGGTACATTTTTGTGAGAAAGGTGTAAAAACGAATGCAGTTGTGTATCAAAATACATTCTTGACCAACCTTGTGAAACCTGTTTCTCATACCATGTTCAATAACAGGCACTGGGTATTCCAACAAGATTCGGCGCCAGCTCATAGAGCGAAGAGCACACAAGACTGGTTGGTGGCGCGTGAAATCGACTTCATCCGGCACGAAGAATGGCCCTCCTCCAGTCCAGATTTGAGTCCGTTAGATTACAAGATATGGCAACACTTGCAGGAAAAGGCGTGCTCAAAGCGTCATCCCAATTTGGAGTCACTCAAGACATCATTGATTAAGGCAGCCGCCGATATTGACATGGACCTCGTTCGTGCTGCGATAGACGACTGGCCGCGCAGATTGAAGGCCTGTATTCTAAAATCACGAAGGTCATTTTGAATAAACTTTATTGTCATAAGAATCTATGTTTTGTTAAGTTCATTTTGGTATATAAATGGTTACACAATGAATAAACTTGTTTCAATTATTTTATATTAAACATGTGATAGAATTTATGACCTGACTAGGTACATCATATCACCTCGAGGATGCTCTGGTGTAGTGGCGCACGTAGGTGTGCCGATCCCAGAGCGTCCTCATAAGGGCCGAGGAGGGTACCGGTGGTTTTTAGTGGGTAGGACCGGCGTTGTTTCGCGCCGGGGAGTCCCACACACGTCGCGCGCCTGGCAAGCGCTCGGTATGGTAAGCGCGTGGCGTAAATGCATTTTCCACCGTCAACAAAAAAAAAAATGGGTGCGTGTACTTATGTAGGCGCGTGAGAAGTTATCCTTCTTTGGCATCGTTCAAAATTAGTTTTTAATTGCATGCAAATAATTAATTACAATAAATTAATAAAAAGTCTGGAAAAGGACACAGTCAATAAAGTTCAGTTTTAATTTGAAAAAATAAATAAATAATCAAAATATTCAATTAAAATCGCTACTGAATATAATTTATTAGAACATATGTGATTTGCACTTGTATGAAACTCAAACACGTATTCCGAATATACAAACTAGAAACATGTGGATAAATATTATAAATATGAATACCTATAACTGTTACTTTATTACAAAAAATAAAGATGTGGTTTTTGGTTCTACTACACCAATGGTCAAGAGATGGCGCTGTAGTCTCCTGAATCGCGCTTTGGTTCCGTTGTTCCAGATTAATAAATACTTTTGATAGGCCTTCACAATGCAGTCGTAAGCACCCACAAAATAGAGATTCTATTTCGCTAAAGCGACCAACTTCATGCTGTTAATTTTTTGTGTTACAGTGATGCGCAGACAGCGCGCGCATCTTAAAATTTCACTCTCATCATTTTTTCATAACGCGCCTAAAGAAGTATAACTTCAAAAAGGTACATTATATCACAATTTTTTCGCGTCTAACTGTCAAACTCCATGATAATTTGACAATTGAGCGTGATAAAAACGCGTCATATGATATGTTACGCTATCAACACACCTAGCTTGAGCACCACGATGTGATATGTAACACGTTTTCTTGCGCGAGTCCGACTCGCACTTGACCTGTTTTTATAAAATCTATCCCTTGTTGCAGATCAAACATGTCGCTCTGGGCCAGAGCTCAGCAGCTTCCACAGGAGAGTTTGCAGAAGGTAGGAACTTGAGACCGGTAACCTTAGCGCGAACCAATATCGAATTCGAATAGTTTGCGAGTGCGAAATGTCAATGTCAAATTTTGTATGGAAACTTGAACGGCAACGCCACAAAGTACGTAACGAGCACCCCAGTACCAGCTTCTCCCTTTGGATCGCATCCAGCGCCGAGCGGCTCGAATCGTCGACGACCAGGACCTTTCCGATCAGCTTGATCCTTGGGCTTTGCGTAGGGATGTAGCTTCGCTCTGCATCTTCTATCGCATTTATCACGGGGAGTTTTCTGAGGAATTGTTCGGATTAATTCCAGCTGCTGCATTTCGCCATCGTAAATCGCGACAAAAATTTTGTCATCATCTTGATGCGTGGCTATCACCGCAACCGTGCGTTTTTGTCGAAATTTTTTACTACGTAAAACTGTGGAATATGTTGTCGCCAGCATTGTTTCTGGACCAATACGACCCAAAAACCTTTAAAAAAAGAGCGTACTCCTTTCTTAAAGGCCGGCATCGCATTTGTGATACTCCTGGTGTTGCAAGTGTCCATGGGCGACGGTGATCACTTACCATCAGGTGAGCCGTCTGCTCGTATGCCCCCTATAACATAAAATAAAAAAAATAATAATAATAATCAGTACATATTTGACAAGGTAATTTCGGACTCGCAAACAATTCGAATTCGATATTGGTTCGTGCTGGGGTACTGTAGGCCTATTCGCTAACTGCTTTTGACAGATGAAAGAAAGAAAGAAGAAAAACATTTATTGATGGAAGTGATAATATAATTAGGGTTTCAAAGTGTCGCCTACTTGAGAGGTCCCGGGTTCGAATCCCGGATGGGGGCAGGCGTTTTTGTGATGAATACGAGCGTTTGTAATCCAGTCATGGTTGTTTAATATGTATTTCTATATAAATATACTTATACATGTATCACTGTATGTATTCTATCTGTTACCCTAGTATTCCATAACGAGAGTCTTAGTGCTTGGGGATAGGCTAATTGGTGTGAGTTATTTTTTTTTATTTAGTGACCCAGAGGCGGCGTAAGGCGTGGGCGACGTGGGCCACCGCCTAGGGCCTCGCGGTACAAGGGGCCTCGCGCCTCAAAAACTTTTATGCATTGCTTAAAAGCGAATTTCTTTTTTTTTATTATTTTATAAAATCCGTCTTCAGGTCGCCACAGAACAGGGCCTCGCGAAATCTGTCTTGCCCACATCAAATTTAGGTCTTGCCCCGCTACTGCCACTACCGACTCACAGTGTTTTATGGAACCAAAAAAATTTACATGTTCAGGTTCTTACATAAATAGATTATTTATACCCTAAAAAGGCTTGAGTTCAATTTACAGAAGTCTAACTCAAATACTTTTTGAGAAAAAAAATAATGAACTTATCGTGACCTTTGACCTATGAAATCTAGAATATTTTTTTATAAAGTGAATATTAACAATATATTTTTTTAATAAATATGTGTCAATCGGGCATAATCAGAGGCGTATAAACGCGTTTCTTTAGCTTAAAAAAATGCATTGGTTTGGGAGCAGCATTTTTTTTTTGTATTTCGTATTTATTGTTTTTTCTCCCTAAAAACGAAAAAGTGGAACCTAGAACTTAGATAGAAATAAACCTACGGATGTGGTCTATCATACATAAATAAGCCACGTGTCACTTTTGCGGCGTTTAGAAGATATTAATTTTTAAATTTTTATGCTAGGGTTGACACCGAGTGTTTTATAGAACCATAGTTGACCTTTATCTAAATTCTGTCATAACTTCTTAAAACCGCAAAAGTGAAACTTGATTTTTTTTATGGGTGATAGAACTTGGCTTATAGAACCTTTCTGTTCTAAATCCAGGTTCCACTTTTGCCGATTTTTGGAGAAAAAAAAATAAAAATCGAAATTTAAAAAAACTATATTTCTTGGAAACTAGGACACTTATAAATAAAATAAAATTACAAAATTATGCCATCAATAATTCCTTAGCAATTGGCAAATATCTCATGGACAGATATGGAACCGTCTTTTGAGGAAATTAAATTGTTAATTTTTTCATGCGCAAATTTCAAAAACTTTGCTACTTCATATCTTTTTTTTTACTTAAAATAGTGATCTGGGAATTGAACTCTTGCCTTTATTAGGGTTTAAATAATTGATTTATGCAAAAACCTTAAGGTGTAAATATTTTTGGTTCTATAAAACACTGTGCGACTGCATCATTATAACGTCGCTAAGATACCATGTTCTGAAAAACATACACACACACACCGTTAGTGTCCGACCGAAAGTTCGGTTTCGGTTTCCAGAATTGGCCGAAACTTTTGCCGAAACCGAAACTGATTTCGGAAATTGTCGTGCACGCTCGCCTTACTTCGTTTCTCGCACAGCAGTCCATAACCTATATTGAGAAGTGCAGTTTCCTATATTGAGATAAAAGAGATTGATGATTCTTCTAAGTACAAATACAAACACCAAAGTATTAATTTATAAGATTTCAAAATACCAATATTTGGGACGGGAGGTTGTTCAAAGACTAAACTTTTTATTTTCTTAATACAGAGACAATAGACAATTATCAAGAGATGCTAATAGTTGTCAACAGATGGCATTATTAGTATATATAAGAAAGAATATTATTTTGATAGTAATTTTAACATCTCCACTTATCAAAATAATCTAAACCATATGTAACAAAAAAAATACAGTCACAAACAATTCAGTGCATACTTAAAATATTGTTTTTGCACAGGTACTAATAAGCATAATTGAAAAATTGAAATTGAGAGTTTGTTTATTTATATATATATATATATATATATCCAGATCACACAATAATATGCATACCTAGCTTTTTAACAAAATTCTTATGTTTGACACTACTCAAGCCTTTTGTCAGCAGGTCTGCAGACATTTCAGATGTTGGCAGATAAACTATCTTTACATGTTGTTTAGCGACTGCTTCTCTAACAAAATGATGACGCACATCAATGTGTTTGGTTCTTTTATGGAACAATGGATTCTCTGTCAACTTCTGAGCCCCCTGATTATCATTAAACAAAGTAATTGTATAGTTACAAAAATCAACAATCTCATTCAACAAGTTTCTCAAATATATAATGCCACTCATCATTTCCCAAACTCATCTCCTTCACTTCTTGACTTAATTATAGTCTCTTCTCCTCATCTTGTCATGAAGCATGGTCAATGTTCGGCTGATGCCTTTTCATACCATGACTTAATTTTCTTATCCTACAAAATTCGTCCTCCCAAAATTAAACCCAAAGTCATTCTTCAGCGTAATTTTGGTGGTATGGATAGGGAAGCGTTTCTTATTGACGCTCAAAATACTGATTGGTCGCCGGTAACTGATGCGGAGTCTGTGGACGAGCAAGTTGAGACCTTTAATTATATCATTACTCAACTTTACGACAAGCACGCCCCTTTTCGTCTCATCAAGCTTAAACATGTTCCTGCGCCCTGGCTTACCCCAGATATTAAAGAACTTATGCACAAAAAGGATGTTGCTAAATGCAAATACAAACGCCGTTCAACAGATGCAAACAAGGTTAACTATGCTAGAGCTCGTAATCACTGCAATTTGGTGTGTAGGGATGCCTTACGTCGCCATATTCATGTTTCCGTCGATAATAAAGATCCAGCAAAAGTCTGGAATTTCCTGAGGTCTCTTGGAATTGGTAAGTCCCGACAAGAATCTATTCCTAGTAGCATTAACGTTGATTCACTCAACCTTCATTTCTCTTCATGTTCTAGTCTCAGTGATTCTAACAGGACTAATACTTTAAAGTTTCTTTCTTCGTTACCAGTTCCTGACTACTCTCCTTTTGTCTTTACTCAATTCACTGAATGTGACGTTAAGAAAGGTATGCTTTCTATCTCCTCCAATGCGGTGGGGAACGATGGCATTAGTCGCAACATGTTGGTACCAATCCTAGATATCATTCTTCCTATCCTTACTTTCCTATTTAACAGTTCGATTTTCAATGCTGTCTTTCCATCAGTTTGGAAGCAAGCTCAAATTATCCCACTCCCTAAAAAATCGAGCCCCCAATCCACCGCCGATTTTCGCCCCATCTCTATCCTACCCTTCCTATCTAAGGTCCTTGAACGCCTCGTCCACAACCAATTTAATATGTTCCTATCTCGCCACAACCTTTTTAATCCTTTCCAATCTGGTTTCCGTCCCGGCCATAGTACTACGACTACCTTGCTCAAAGTGACAGATGACATACGCCTTGGGATGGATAATGGTCTCCTCACGGTATTAACATTGTTGGACTTCAGCAATGCTTTTAACACCGTCAATTTTGACGTTCTTTTGGCATTGCTGCGCTCACTTAACGTATCTCCATCAGTGATTGAGTGGTTTCACAGTTATCTGTATGGGCGCAGGCAGCGTGTTTGCCTTGAGGAGAAATTTTCTTCTTGGAGCGACACGACTGCTGGCGTTCCGCAAGGCGGCGTCTTATCTCCTCTTCTTTTCGCTGTTTTAATCAACTCCGTCTCTAATAATATTTCTTCTTCCTACCACCTATATGCAGATGACCTCCAAATCTATCGCCAAGCATCACTTCGTCAACTTGGAGATGCGGTACGAGCCACTAATAGCGATCTACATACTATATCAGAGTGGAGCAAATCCTTTGGATTGCAACTGAATCCCTCTAAAACTACTAGCATAATAGTAGGTAGTTCTAGGATGATAGATAGAGTAGAATGGCAGTCTTTACCCAATATCCAGCTGGCTGGTGAAATTGTCCCTTTTAGCGCATCGGTAAAAAACCTGGGGTTGACTTTCGATAATTGTTTGAGCTGGGGTCCACAGATGCAAGTGGTCAGCCGCAAATTGTTTGCTTCAGCAGCTTCGCTTAGAAGACTACGTAATTTCCTACCCATCACTACTAAAATTACACTAGCACAGTCGTTGTTGCTTCCCATTCTTGATTATGCTGACGTCTGCTATCTTGATCTTACCGAGGACCAGC